GCACCCAGTCGACGTGTAACAAATGCAAAAGTGAAAAATGCCATCTAAATGCAGCGAAGCGTCCACTTACAACGCGAGAATGACACGTAATAAAAACCTTGTTTTTCTTTGTCCGTCGTTGCCTGCTGTACGCACGTGAGAGTGAGCGTCATATGAATATCGATGTCAGAAAAAGACAGCAACCCCTACGCCGTATAGCGTGTATGCGCCATCTCGTAAAAGAGGAGAAAAAGAGACGTTAAAGAGAAGAAGACCGGAGAGGAAGATATATCACGAATTTAAATGTCGCCGCTGCGAGCGAATAAAAGTACGCTTAATGAATTTTCACTCAATCTCCGTGACTCCGGCCTCGCCTTTTTCTTCCTTGAACGTGGTAGAAACGTAGGTACTATGGGAATTACGGATGCTCGTTTATGTCTGTTTACGTATTGGCTTGACAATCACTCCTTCGAAGATCGAAACTCGTGGACTTGTTGTATTTCTCACAGTACGTTAACGATGTGCAAACACGTTAATCCTGTAGTCGAAATTTGCATGGCTACTTTCGATAGATTCGTTTGTGCTGGCACATAGCAGATCATGCCTATTTGATTGATCGATGAATATATTGTAATCTACACTGGCATTGAGGAGAGGGGGAGGGAGAATAGCAGAATAAAGCTCTAATATTATCGACAGAAATATGACAAGACTCGAAATCAGTGAGCAAAACGAAAGGTATATTATGCAACCTATGAAGCAATAGCTAGTTACGAGCAATACGGCAAGTCAATAATTTGAATAGCGATCAAACCAGCAAATCCCAACTAATTGATTTCACTATTCGAACTTGGAAGTGTGCGTGCTTTACAAAGGTCGTATATGCTGTTTTCATTAAATATTCAATTCAAAGTATGCTCAGCTAATTAACGTATTAATTGTGTATCGTCAAAGCCGGTGTACGTGCGTTCTAATCACTGTTGGCTCCCTTTCCCCTTGCGGCAGGAAAATTGAGGAATTCAATACAGAAATTCCATAGCTGTAGGCAGCTCGTATATATGATAGGCGAGCTGCTATATAGCTTTTAGCTGCAAGTCGTGCGTGTGCCTCAGCTTCGCCAGCTTGGATCAATTTGGGGCAAAGATGTGATTGAACTGGCAGGATCAAAGTGCCTTGCAAGTCCTTTCGCTAGATTATGACATGACGCACACGTGACTGACGATCTCAAATTTACGTGTATATTAGTTTTAGCGTTTATTATTCTTTAGATTCTATTGAAAACACGTTCCTCATAGAGATTCACATTTTTAGCTGAAAATATGGGAAAGTAAAAGCCTGTGATTTATTGCGTAATAAGTCTCACCGTACACACACAGAACAGTTAAATCAAACCAAGTAACGGCAAAACTTCGTGCAATAGGCATGCAGGAAAACTCAATGAATAAGTATTTGTTAAGCTTTATAAAATGGGCAATTGTTTGTTGGTATTACGCTGTTTTACTCAATACACGTATGTTCTTTTGCTATTCTGAAAATCAATGAACGTCAAGATAACGAAAAAAAAGGAAAATAAAAAAGAAGATGCGTTACACATTCCGGCCCAAGCAAGGCGGAAGTAACGGGGAAAACGGTGGAATGAAAAACAGGCGACATTTGTCTAAACTCGTGCAGTCGCGTGCTTCCCCACCGAATTTATAACGGCTTCGTGCATGGACTCGGGTGCGAGTGCAAAGTAGTCAAAAAGCTTTCGCGGCGCTGATTTATCCGTGAATGTAGCATAGCGAGAGAGAAGCCTCTTCCTTTCCTCTCCCATTTCCTTTTTTTTTACATTTGAACGTGCATATACGCTAAGTGATTTTACTTTCGTGAACCAAGAATATTCATTTTCTACATTTTTCTTTCTCGCACTTTCGCGAGTTTTAATTGAATTTATTTTATAATATAAAGCCAATAGATTATATTGCAATAATTGGTGTTGCAAACATAATTCTACAGATTGTAAATGTAAACATTCAACATTCATAAAAATTAGAACCATAAAAAGGTAATGAATTGTGAAAACCGTTTGATTAATGAAATTTTGTAATATACGTTGACTGACGATACAATGCTTCATCTCATAATGCTAATTATAAATGATAAGAGCAATAGCACAGAGTACGACAGTAAAATTTACCAGGCTTAAGTAATTGACTACAACTGTTTATTCCTGGAATTATGTTGCTCAATCAAATATTTCGGAAGTAGAGCGAATTTGGTAATTACAGTAAATGTCAATTTGCGATAATACTGTTTATGATTATTTGGCAGTTTCAATCATTTTCAGCGTATGCTACAAATACAAAGTACTTGTGATTGAAGTAAATGTATTTCAGGCGTTATTCACAATCAACTACTACGGTCAACTTATTTTATAATAATAAATTCAATTCTCTTTATTTTTATTTAATTTTAATGTTTAGAATAACGTTAGAATAGGGACGAAAAACTTTCTTGGTTTTAATAAAGTTCTCAGAAAATTAAATTTTCTGAAACGACATATAATTTTGTAGAAAAAATTGAAAGTAACGAATCAAATAGTATGGATGTTATATAGAATTTTGAAAATAAGTATGTCGTGAACGTTTTAATGTAAAATACAACTTTGAAATTTCATGTAAATGAAGATAATGAAATTTGTAATAGCTACTTGGAAGTTGTTACTATTAGAGAAATTTGATCTAACATGTTATATAAGTTATGAAATATTTAACGGTAGCGTAATTTCAGACCTTTTCAGCGCTAAATTTTTATGTTAGAAAAATTTTCATTTCTTACAAATCTTACATACTACGGTTTCCTCTATCGCTGAAAGCTTAATAATCCAGAAAGCAGACAAGATTAGTGACAGCGACGTATTGAGGTATTAAAACATAATATTATAAAGCCATGGTCCTATATAGAATGTAAATCCTTCGGTTCCGTTCAGCCCTTTAGCTTCTATGTCAAATATGTACAAAATGCAGCTTTCAGCATCGCGTAGAGATTGATAGAGTTTTGCTCCAAAATGAGCATTCTATGCAGAAAATGTTGTGCTATAGCGGTTTGTTTGTCTAGAAGCAGGTTCATTGTTCCTCATCATAGAGGTATAACCAGTTTTAATGAGCACCACCCACAGATACCCAAAGTTATGAAAGACACTCAAGGCACCTAAAGGTAAAAAAAAATAAAAGTAATACCGAAATTACTGAAATCAAACAGTGCTTTGTACCGTATTATAGTCGCAACAAGAAAAAGTTTATCGAGTGCAACTTAAAAATTACAACGATACAAGTTGGCATAGGAAAACTTTTCCGAAAGTCGTGTACGGCCGTGCAAAGTACATTTCGACTGCAATACGTGTCACCGGTTAAATATTGCCGTGCGGGTTAAGACTGGCTTTTGCAGGGTCGCAACTTAGCCAATTTTGGTTTGAATGGCAAGTTGTTGGACAGGTCTTGGTGCGCACTTGCAGGTGCGTGCGTAAATCGGGAATTGGATAAGTGGCAGAGATCGAGTAGCTTTGTTTTGTATAGTTTTTCAACCGCGTTCATGGGAGTATAATCATGGAGCAACAAAGAAAAGTGAGTTAAACGAGATTCAGTATCGATTCGATAACGTAGCCATGGGTAAGCTACGTGATACCGCGTTGTACTAGTAGTGTAACGAAGTGGACAAAGGAAAACATAAACAGTGTCTTACCGGGAAAACACCTGGTCTCTACTTTGCGTAAAGCCAGCCGTTAACGGAGCCGAGCTTTGATAATACGAGCGATAAATAAACTCAAACAGCAACAGCAATGAGCTTAAGCTTTCGCAGAGAAGTAGCGGCAGAGCAGCGGCAGAGTAGCGGCGGCAGCAGCAAAGTTTGTGCATTGTTATGTGCGCGCCTGAGTATGTCGATAGAGATAATCCCTAGAAGTGAGGTGGTATTTATTTTATGATGTACATCGTGCTTTATGTTCGACTATGGAATTCATTGAAATATTCATGCATTGCTGCTGCAGGGACTCCTTTGATGAAATAGTTTAGGATTTCATATGCATTGAAATGCACGTCATATGCCGACGGTATTCATCGCGTGTTCTCGTGCAACGGAAATTGCGAGCAATAGATACTCTGGGACGAAAAACATTAAATAACGCTTGCTTCACGATTTTGCCAAATTTGAATAACCGTGTGTGGCCTCTTGTGCAAAAGCAGACACGATCGCAGTACTTCATTGGCTCGCTCTGGCTAAAAGTGTAATTTACGCTTTGAATATGCTAAAACTGCTCTCATAAATATGGCCTGACGCGCCTGCTTTCTTTCGGCCTTTATTTTTATTGTTTTGCTACCACCAATACGCCAGCGATAACGAATTTCGCAAACTAAGGTTGCAGTACCAACACTGGATTGCTATTTATTTGCCTTTTTTTCATCATACTTGCGCTGCCGGTCACGTAGTTGTTTGGGTTTTCGTGTTTTTTGATTTTCAACCTGTTACGAAACTTCGTACAAACGTTTGCTACTCTGAGTCCGTTGTAACCAGTGAAATAATACTTGCTTTGATTTTATTTTTCAACGTATTCAGACGCACAACTTTTTTTATACGGAATGTTTCAAACTTCGGCAAAATCATTGCTTATCTATTGAATGGTCTATGAAGTATATTGAAGAATTCAATAATTTAATTACCCTTTGTAATTGGTTTCCGGGAAAGAATTAAAGAATTTTATTTTTCAAGAAACGACTTGTTCGCCAGAATGAAAATAGAAAAATTTGTTAGGTAGCTTGGCAAATTTCAATAAATAAAGTATTCGGATGAATAAGTTGAATTGGCGATTTTCACAACTCGACTTTTAAAACTTTATTCTAGAATGACGTAAATTTTACCCAAAGAAATTTGAACCCACGCCAAGTTTCAGATCCACGCGTGCATTATACATCGCTGATTTCTTTCTATCCACTCTCTAAAATATACTCTGATGTTTTTTATCCGTCATTTTTATTGCCATTATGTACAAGAAGTTGAAGAGCATAGAAATAACAAAATTGATGAGATTTGACTGCGAATCCGTTTTTGAAAACATTTTGCAATTCACTTTTTTGTTTTTCTTTTGTCAAACCTGTGTGGCAATTAGTGCTGACTTCAATTATCATAAATTCAAGAGTATTCTGCAGATTAAAGCTGACTTGAATTGATAAATTTATAACCGCTTGCATTTTCCTCTCCGTTAATCGCATGGGATTCCAGTTCGTTCAAGTACAGTGGTAATCTCGCTTCGTCTAAAATTCATAAAAAATCGATGAGGCTTTTTCGATTCGTACCCGCGAGTTCTACTCACCTATTTACCACGCTTCTTCTATTTGGCAGGTTCGTCTTTAGCAATCGGTTGAGTAGCTTGCTCACAAACGAGAGGCTCGTAATTCCTCGGGGTGCGAAATTCAATCTCAAGACTATTCTTCATCTTCTCGGCGTTTAGTATTCGCCTGGATGCACGCATAAGGAACATTTCTTCGTTGGGTAGCTTTGCCGGTGGCGCTTTGTTTGGTATAACGTTCACCTTGGTGCAGCCGGAACAGCACTTGTTGCCTGCACGCCCAAATTGCCAGGTAAGCTTTTAGCTGCGATGATTAATTTAAGCCGGCGGACGAGCGCGCAGCTTTGCCAAGAAGCTATCTTTTGCGCTTTGAATAAGTAACACTTAATGAGTACGGTTTCGTTTAGAAAAGCACGATTTTTTTTTTGTGTTTCCTTTTTTCATTTTCTAAAACGAAACATTTCAAAGAAACAAGTATTCGTTATTTTTTGTTATCATCTGCAAAGACTTCAGTGCGCTGTCATCATTACGTTAATAATTTCATTACTATCTATCAAATATCAGTGCGTTAAAAAACTATTATCGTCATTGAATATTATAACTGCCGAATACTTAGAAGCACCTGATACATACGTGTTGTTGACATGAATGTTATTGATAAGTCTAGTCAGCAATCGAATACGAAAGACGCGAAAAAATTAACAAGCGACTAAGATCAGTGTTTCTCTCTTAGAATAAAACACGTATCGCTCTTCGATTAGCGTAGAAATCCAATAGCGTGTAAACGCGTGAAGGCAAGTTATTTTACTATCTAGCGTGCTTCAAATACTACTACGATAACCTTTGTATTATGCACTATATATACTGTTATATGTGCAATAAATTATATTTAATGAATTGTAATGATGGAGAAACGTACCAATTTCAATTGTACCTTGGTTTATATATATGAAAAGTTACCTTCTGTGTCCTCGCAGTCGGCCGCCAAACTGGACGACACGGGTCCATCAGGTGGATAGACGTTTTGTATACGACCAACGTTCTTGGCTACTCTCACGGTAAGCACGTTTTTGCCTACCTCGTGACTGATCTCATCGTACGGTAAACGAGGTTCGACTGGCGGACAACACGGCTGGCACGCTGACACGTCCTTTTCTTTTTTGTTCATGAGTTTCGTCTTCTTTAGACTAGTATAATACGTACTACTTGATCACTTAATACTTCGAAGTAGTGGTGTTAAAGTTTTTTTTTCCGAGTTTTTAATTTTTTTAATTTTACTGGTTCAATTTGCCGGATAAAATTTAGAGGTTACTACCGAAACTGATTTATTTTAGTTATGTGAAGTCGATTGTTTTTTTTCCAAAAGCAAAAAAGAATACGTCAGTTCTACTTTTCTTACTTGAAATATTGAAATATTAAAAAAAATGGAAAGTTAACTTTCTAAAGTAATGAGACGCGAATACTATGATCGCTCTTCCGATCCGCAACTACGACTGTCCACTAATGTACTATACTAGACTTAGCTCGCGCGACAGCAGGGTGTATATCCTATGCTGCTCGTAAAGTTACGTACGTCTCGTCGTTGCCCCAAAATAAGATCGAATTCTCATGTCAAAAGCTCGAGGACTATAAGAAATGGCGTGGATAGGGAGCCTCGCGCGACGTCTAGTTTGTTACGAAGTATACAGCAAATTATCGTATGATACAAAGTACGCGCAGTGAAAGTTCTTTTACTTGTTCGTGTAGTGAGCTTCTGTCAGCCGCGTATCGACTAGAGTATTCTGAAGTTCTTAGAGCATCGCGTGTCTCGTTTTTTTCTCGAACGAGCGGACACACACACGTCATGGACAGACTGTAATTGTCGATAAACGTCTTTTTTTGTCTAGAGAGTCTTCGATAGGCTACGTAACGTCTACCAAGTTCTGAAGATGATTGCATGTAAAAGAGAAGTTCATAAAGCATCGCGTGCCTCAATGTCTGCTCGGACGACCGAAAGCCACCTCAGTACGCGATAGATACATTGTAATTATCGACAAACGTTGTTTTTTATCTAAGAGAAATAGTCGTCCGTACACGTATAGTCTGGCAAGTTTTGAAGATGATTGCTATAGGAGAAGTTTATGGAGCCTGGTCGTATGACCAAGACTATGTTGAGTTTTGACCGTGTTCGACGATAATTGCAGATCAACGTTTATTTTTTTTATTCGGAGAAATAGCTTCCCGTAGGCCACGTATCGTCTACTAAGTTTTGAAGATGATTACATATAACGTCCAGCAATAGAAGTTCGCAGAGCATTGCGCGTCTCAATGTCTGTTCGGATGATCAAAGACTATGTCAGACTTCATTTCTTTCGAATTACCGCTGGATATACTATAATTGTTATAGAAGTTGTACCTTCGAGGGGTAGCATTCGAAACCTGCAAAGTTTTGAAAACATTTCATATGAAATAGCTAAAGATGTCCAAAGACCTTTGCTAGTTTGGATCTTTACGAAGATTAAAGTTTGCAGTCTTTAAACACCCTCTGAACTTTCGAATCATTGATCAGGGACTTTTTTTACCTCAAATAGTGCGTATACTCATTTGAAAGCCCATCTCGCCTACTTTGAGTTCGTAAACTCATAATACTCATAGGCTCATAATAGGCATCATGATACTACAGGTTCTAAAGTACTTTTAAAGTAATCAGAATTAGCAGCTATAAACTTAAAAAAAATCGACCATATTGTTATAAATTAATTAACGTTAATTATAGTTACAGCGTGGAATCAAAGTAATTGTAATGAAGTTAACATTAAAGTCGCAATTTTAGTTACACAGTGCACGATAAAAAAGACAAATATCATATGCAAACATGAGTCGAAAGATTTGTGACGTTGAATTTTTGTATGAACGTTAACACCAACTTTAAATTACTATTTTGCGTCAAAATCAATATTTTGTCAAATTTACCATACCTTCAAATTAGAAGTCAAGCTATATACACTTTGCAGGTGGCTGCCCCACGAAGTAACTAGAGATGTCTATAGAGCATCGCTTGTTTCGATTTTTCTCTAGATAAAAGTATGTAAGCTTTAGCATCTTTCATTCAATATTGATCCAGCCTGTTTTAAGTTATTTTCCAAGATTTTTATATTCTTATCTAAAATAGTTATCAGATTTTTTTAAATCCTATGTTTTTGTTTTCTTAGGCGTAGTTTGACTTTTTATTTAGTTATGAATTCGAACTATAATGTAAAATTAAAATTTTTTTAAATTAAATTTATTTAAATTTAAATTTTTAAATAACGGATTTCAAATTTTAAATCATGTTTGCTTATCGAATCTTTTTATGGATATTTAAACTAATGGAAGCGATGATCAGAAAAAAACATAATAGTATTTTGATGGAATTAAGAGATTTTGAAAAAGAGACACAAGTATAAAGTTCTAATCACAGATTTGATTATCGTTGAATTTAAATATAACATTTCAACCATGAACTAAGAATACTATGTATTATTTTGTGGGATTTAGGAATATATAGCACGTGGACTAGTTATAAAAATTTCATTGGTTAGAAAAAAAAACATATTATAAGTAATTTTTAATTAAAAAATTTTAGTATCCGAAATGTTATTAATTTCCGTAAATAATTACTCTGTGTGATAATTTTTACAATGATACATAAGAGTATGGTGATCGATAAATTGATATAGACGTGTAATTTTCTACCTATAGCAGATATAACACGACTATAAAGAAAAAATACGTTCAGCCGGATAAAGTGGTCAGAACGCAAGTTTGACAAATGAACCTTACACCAACCAATTTGCTAGCTGGAATTGCCTTTGATACGTACTTGTAAAAAATAATTCTAGTTATTTTTATAAGTAATCATGTAGTTAATTCTCTCTTTGATCAGAACATTGCTGGCTGTAGTCGGGCTCACTTCACCAATACATTGAGAGATGCGCTCTTGTAGTTTTCTCTATATTTTTCATTGTTGGTATTCATTCTTTAATGGACATGATAACAGCAATGGTCGGAAAGCAGGATTCACAATTGATATTTGACTAAATGTAGAAGTTTATATGCACGTAATTATAGGTCCATTAAAATTATTCCGTTTGAAAGCCACGACTTCAGCTTCATCTATATTCGATTTCTCATTTGTTATATGATATGTTTATCTACAGTCCATTGGTTTGCATTGATCTTTTATTGCTTTATTACTGTATTTATTTCATGGTATCTGGTATGGAATACATATTTCATTCTGAAAAACAATTGTTTCTTTTTATTCCTTTTTTATCGCAAAGTGATTAGTATTACAAATGAAAAAAATATATACGTCTATACAAGTTTTGATAAAAAGTATGTGTATGTATGTGTAAGGCTGAAAAATATTTTTGTTTATACTAGTCGAAGAACTCACTTGAATTAGAATACATATATCTAACGCCTCGGGTGGTCAGTCTGGATTATTGTTATTGCATGCTGCTGTACAAGCGGTTAGGCACTTACGTTGGTGTTCCATGAGTGCTAAGAACAAGATTTATAGAATTTTTTCTTTAGTCGCTTTTTTATAAACTTAATGTATCGACTACTTTAACGAGTGTCGAATTGTAAGGGATGAAGAGTAGCAGAAAAACAAGAAAAAAAGGATGTTTTCATACAATGTTTATGCTACTTCCTTTTATTTTTATGCTGTGTAAATGCTATGTTATGTAGTTCTATAACTGACATAAAAAAAAGCTGGTTAGAGATTGGGAAAAAACCAGTTTACAATGTAAGGTAAGTATATCGCCGGCAACAAACTGTAATAAGCGGCAAGAAAGGACCAGATTGATTGTTCATACGAAGATCTGGCGTTATACTACTTTTCCCTCGTATTTTTAGCAAATGAGAACCTTCGTCTTGTTTATGGGTCTTACAGAGACGCATAACAAGGAAGCAAGCTTTCTGCGAGGTCTGCAGCCTCCAAGAACTAATTCCTTGGAGCTGTAAGAGGGTGGCTTCAGGGCGACGATGCACAACCAGCGCCCGTCCACGTCAATGGGTCAGGTCGGAGACGCGAACGAGCCTGAATAACTAGTTCGTGTTGGCAAGTCTTCAAAGTCTCGGATGGCCAACTCGATGCTTCTCGTCGCCGTCTTTTCAGGTGGTCGTAAATGGACCCTAAATTATAATACTCCGCGTGCGCACGTTTTCGATCACGCTGGGTATAGCGCACATAACCCAAATCTCAAACACGTTTGCATATTTCCCCGTTTTGTAATCACCGTCATTTTAATAGTCGTGATGTATCCAGCGAAAGCACTGTTCACGTGACTATCACCAGTCGAAATTAACAGCACTGAGCTTAGTCTTCTGCTATACAAGTATCATTTTTTCAATTTATTTCATATTTTTATAACAAACGTTCGAAGTTTAAAATTATAAATATAATTATAAGTTATTATAAACTTCAATTACAATCACAATAAATTATTAATTATAAATATAATATTTAATTGAAACACGTCGTCTATGTTGATAATGTGATACTTTCCGGTAATTATAATTTCTAGAATCACTTGTGATGCTTCGATACTGTTCCTGGTGATCCGTTCTGCATACTTTAGGTATTTAAGAAATCCTCTATCTGCGTTTGCTCAAAATATATCTCAAAGAATCAAATCAGAGACATTGCATTTACTTTTACTAGAGATTGTTAACGTACATGAGTTTGAATTTTTCAAAATTTTTATACCATTCAATTCTTTATAAAAGAAAATGTTAGGAATCTGTATCTCGACGAAATTTCTGAATGTAATATTAATATTGCAAATAGCCCAGAAACGAGATAAAATTCTCATAATACGTATTTAATTTGAATATGTACTGTATTCACTGTTCTATTCACAACATGAAGAGTACTTACAGGAAAAATTTTCATGTAGCTTGGGCTTCAATCTGGCAATATACCTAAGGAGCATCAACATGAACTTTAATATAATAACATCGTTATATCGAGGAGAGAGCTGAGTGCAGACTGTCGCGAAAAAAATGTTCTAACCAGCGATGCAGCCAGTGCGCAGGTCCCAGTAATGAGGGGCTGTACGGTGAAATTAGACGAATTAGATGTCATTCACGAAGTTTTTCGTGTATAATGCAAGCGATCGACTGGTCTTTTGTGTTTTGCGATCAGAATGCTACTGGCTTCGTTAGAGGTAGCTTCGCATAAACACTAGTGAGTAATGCGCTGACATCGTTTGAATATTATACTAATCTTTGAGAGAATTATTTCGATTTAACAAAATCTTTTTCAGTGACTACGCAAGTCGCGAAGATCGACGATGAAAAAGATTCGCAAAGAACTTTTAATCAGATGTGCCAATTGTATGTGCGTGTATTAAGATTCGTAGCAGTGTTGCCGTTTGAGGGACGAGACTTTACTTTCATTGGCACTCGGCTACTTACTTGTTACTTATGTACCTCCAGCATGATTCTTTGTTCCATGTTCACTGTATATTGCTGCACTTCGGCAATTAGATCTTGAGAAATTTCTTTCCTTTTTCAGATTGTCGGACTAAATTATTTTATCGATCTTAATAATTAATTATTTTATCATTACATCAGACTGAAAGAATTGTAATAATGTAGAATATAGGTTCTTTATCGAGTCATGACTACTATAAAAGTTTAGTGAAATAGAAAAATTTCGAAATTTTTGATAATATTCCACAACATCTTATGTTAAAAATTTAAATTAATATAAATATGAATGGTTCTTTGGATTATAGAAATCAGTACGATTGCAAGACATAAGCGAAATGATACTAGTGGTTGGTTTAAATTTTCGTTTCAATACCATGATCTATAAACGGAAGATCTTCGAATCGTTATTCAACGAGTCTCGATCCCTATGGAGTTTCTGCACTGGTCAAGGCCAGTCAATCGTCAAGTTATATGAGCAAAAAATCAGACGAGTCTACAAAATGTTCTTTCTCAGCTGCATTTTCGTAAATATCATGTATCCTATGGAAGCATTGTTGACGCGGCTTCCTCCACTCGAACCCAATGGCACTGAGCGCAGAAAATTGCCTTACAAGTATAGTTTTCTTTCTATTGAGCACCTATTTTTAAATTATATCACCTCACAATCAATTAAGTGTTTTCAAGCAATTTGAATAATTTGGTATCTGGAAAAAATAAGTGGCAATATCTATTCTACTTGATACTTCCATTTCACTCACATGTTTTATCGATTCATTATTCACAAGATCGGCTTCAATAGAATCTGAAAAAATCATTTATCACGTTATATCTTCTCACATTAAACCAAAAAATCTATTTATCATAATAATCAATTATGAAATAAAACTTATGTAGCTGGTTCACGGATAACATGGAAAATAGTTGGCCAGGCTATTGGGTGATCTTTGTGATTCAAATGGTTGTAGTTCAAAACGGAATAATTTACACTGCAGTTTGCGACACTGCTCTGCCTCTCTTGATGATGATCAGCTCCGAATATTTTAGACATCTGAAAGATCGCATAAATAATTTTATTGAAAATCCAAATTTAAAGGAATCGGATCAAATACTTTGTATTTATTTTCATCAAAGACTACTAACGTACGTGAGTTTAAGTTCTGCCAATTCGATATTTTACTTATTAAAAAAAAAAACTATAGGATATAATTTTTTAATGAAATTTTTTAATGAAAAATATTTCACAGTTATATTCTTCATCGAGGCATTTACAAATATTATGAATTTTTTTTTGCTCCATTTACAATAATAAATGAACAGACTAATGATACATACAGGTTTTGCGCCAAATTAGGTGAATTCGCTGGCGCGATGCTTCTAACACAAATTCTGAGTACTGGATATAATATATCTCTCATTCTAATAAAACTCGTCAGTGTAAGTACAAACAGCCTATACATAATTCATGTTGCTCAACTAAAACTGTTATTGGATTTTTAGCCAGACCGCGACAAATATAAATACTTTGCATTACTGGGCACATATCTATGTCAATTGTTTATGGTTCAATGGGCACCCGATCATTTGCACGATGAAGTGAGTATCCACATTAAATATAATACAGTTAAATCCATATAATTTTGCTGCATAGTTTTTTATTGTGGTTGCAAATAGAGCGAGTAGGTGGCATTTGCTGCTTACTCTGCATACGTCGGAACTACGCATAGCACGATTCTTAGTAAGAATTTGTTTACTATAATATTAAGAGCTCAACGACCTGTGCAGTTTTTGGCTGGTGGCTTTATTCCATTGTCTCTAGAGTGTTTTGGCAATGTACGTACTATATTCAGACGTGCTTATTGACATAATTACCAAAAACTTTGTTTTACAATGTTGCAGATGATAAAAAATGCATTTTCCTTCTTTACTGTACTACGTAATTTTGACTTGTAGACGATGTTGTACAATCGCGTCCGTGACAGTTTCACTGTTTTATCAAGGCACTTGTATTAAAAGCAGCAGCAACAACTAATAAGTTTTCGATTGTTGTAACTAATCGCAGGTCGACTAAGTTCATAAATATCTTGCTACTGTAATATAGGACACATTTATTAGATGAAAACAAACTGAAAAATAAAAACTTCGGATCATAAGAATACGCGCTTTTATGAATGTACACATACAACACATATCAATTGCCCTATTTAATTTGAAGAATTTAATTACATCCTCTTTTCTATTATATTATAATATTATATTTTATGTTACCTTAAGATTAAATTTTTAACAAAGAATGTATAATTTCTCAACATTCATTAGTGAATGTTGTGGAAAAGTTGTTTGCTAAGAGACGTTTGAATTTTTCCTGCTAAAATCACGAAATTCATATCCAAGCGTCCTATGGTCGTAGGATTGCTTACTCTCCTTTATCTGAAAATCATAATGTTGATATTGTAATGTCCAGCGCAGTTATTCTGATAGTATTTTAACAATTGGCATGTATATTTGTTCATTATGTGTATTACAGAAATTTATGTGGCTTGTAGATGTAAGTCTAGCAGTGCTAGTGGTTGGTTTAAACTATCGTTTTGTCACCATGATATAAAACGAGAGACGTTTCAGTGTCAAACCTTATGGATTTTTGTACTGAGCAAGGACATCGAACTATCACCCTTTATGAGAATATTGGTCGAGTCTACAAAATTTGCTTCCGCAACTTCTATTGTGTTAATGAGATGTATCCAATGGACCGCTGATCACAGGACTACTAACATGCGAATCTAACAGCATGGAGCGTTGGAATTTACAGTTCACGTAAATTTTTCTTTTATTGAAGAAATTTCTGTATGACATACGTTATTATGATTATACATATAAAGTATAATCAAGTAATTATCCCATCAAGTCTATAGAAGTAGAACAACCCAAAACTTGTTCCTTGAAGAATCATTTAGTAGAAATAAAATGCCTAGTATTCTCGGAATTTTTATGTTATATAATTTTATTTTAATATATTTTCTACAACTACAGTGATAGATGAAAACTGAAATTAGTACTGTTTGAGGTGCAATGTATTGTGCGAGTCGGAGTACGATGCGATCATTTAGCACCATCATTTTTAAACTAAGTAATTTATGCAGTAGTTTGTGACATCAACGCCTCTCCTAATGCTGATCACCTTTTGATACTTTACTCGAAACATTGTTTTTACTTTTATAGAAAATTGCTAACGCATGTGAGTTGGAATTTTTCCAAATTGATATGCCACTCATTCCTTAATAGAAAATAACATTGTATACATGTATCAATGAAATTTCGCAATGTAATACTGATAATGTAACCGAAACAATGAGATAAAAGCTTCATTATACATATTTTAGTTGAATATGCGTTGTCTTCGCTGTTGAATTCACTGTAATACATGGTTTCGTGGGAAAAATTCACATATATGTGGTACTTTAAATAGAGATCATGCTACTAACAGAAATCTGTAGTAATTTTTATATCATATATCTATGGTACACATTCTTAAACTAAAAAACATTATCAAATTTTCAGATGGATCGCGACAATTACGCTTACTCACCAGTACTATTCACGTATTTATTCGCATTATATCTAATTCAGTTATTACCTAATCATCGTATGACTTTTTTCATTTTATGGTATAATCTCAACTGGTAATAGACGATAGACTTTTGTGATCGTTCCATCTTCACTGCCTTATTGAAGTATGTATGAAGCAACCAGTTCTTGTAGCTGGCAAGTCATCTACTTCTAAACATTAGGGGTTCCAGAAGAATCGTCAGTGGTTAAGTTTATTCTTCATTTTTTTATACATAAAGTGTCGGCAGATGAACATAAACTGAAATGAAATAGCACATTTGAGAAGTATATGACTTAACGATTTGCGAAATAAGTACTCAAAGGAAGTTAATGACGTGGTAAAATGGCTTATTAGATTTTATAACCAAATACAGAGAGAAAAATGATTAGATTTCTTATTATGAAGTACAGATTATTCATGAAAATGTGCTTTGACTGAGGTATAGTATTGTTTTCATTTCGATTCTGTTAAGAAAATATTCAAATATCAGTAAAAGGTAACAAATAATGTTTAAACGTTGTAAATATTTTTTAAAGTACTTATGATGTATAGGGTTTTTGTTCTTCTCTCATTAACTAAGAACATATAGGCATCGCTTCTACAGCGTTTATAGTTGTGGGTAGCCTGCCAAATCGTTCCTCGCTACTATAAGATTCATGTTCGACGTTGCTAAATGAAATTGGAATAGATATTCCAATCTGCTGAACAAAGCATATCTATTTATCGATGTGTTTGCTAGTTGAGCTTATAGGATGGCTTCTAGTTTCTATTTGCAATATAGCGGATTTTACTTTTCGAGGCTATAATTCTTCTCGATTTTTCTAGTTTTTTAGCCTATTACGTGACAGTAGAGGTACTCTACATCTTTTTGCGTCACATTTTCTTTGCAATATCGCCTCGTATCGACGCTTATCATTCAGATCGAATTATTACATTGATTATAATTAGACGAGTACAGGCTAACAGTGTGTTTATAGTAAATCCTCTTTCTCTCTTAACACTATATTTCTTGCTTTTTGACAATAGAACAAATCTATGCATGCGAAGAGGCCAGTAGAGCCGAGAACTTATGGCATTATGACGTGTGCAGGTGAAATGCTTATCGCAATTATTTTGATTTTCGGCACGGCTCTTATTAATTCAAGGCAGATCAAGTTAAAGCAAGGTGTCAAGCATGTGCTGAGCGCGCTAACAGTAGCTGCGATATCGCTTACATGTTCAACAACTAATATTCATATTTCAAACCGATCGCGATATATGTAGTTTACTATACTGCCGTCACTTCAGAAAGGCTGAATTTTCACCTCCTAAAACTATCCGATCGATCACGTGGTCATATTTTAGAAGCTAAAACTTGCTCAGAATCTTTTTTGTTTACAAAATATTGCATACATTTATAGTAAAATGTAGATCGCCTCTGTTTGCAACCATTGTTTTGTTGTACATCCAGATACTACTGGACGTGCGCAAAATTCTAATGATGAGAGAACTGAAGACGCTGATAGATCATCATATTCATCGGTAATTCATTTTAGTTTGAACAATCGATGGCCACATGATATCTTACAGACGTGGCAATTTATAGACAACATATTGCAATGGACATTTTTTCATCTAACCCTATTCATTTTCGGTTCAAGAATACTTGCGAAGAATAATTACTAGAAAACTTTCAGTAATTTCTCAACATGAGCAGCCCGTACATGAAAAACTATTGTTTTTAAAATGTCATTGCAGATAGTTTATTCAGTCTATTTAATCAAAATATTAATTAGTTGAACTATGCAATTATTATACTGAATAAAGGTTTATTTCAAGTTAAATTAATTTAAGTTTTTCCAGCATTCATCGTCTCCGCTAAGAAAAAAATGAAGTTATTGATTGAAATGACAAAATTAGCATAATTAAGATTCCTTACATTCACCCGAGAAGAATCAATATGAACTTCAATATAATAACAGAAGATCGTAGCAAATAGGTTTATTTACTGCATACAACAAATACTTTTATTTATTCTGCACACAGTAGCTTAATTTTAAAACTGTTACGTAGTTATAGAACAATGACAAACACTGATCATAATTCATTCTGTAGAATTACATAAATTGTCTACTAGTCATAGTTAAAATTTCCTATTCAAATTGTATTTTTTCATAGACCTTGAAATTTATGTTAATGACTTTTTACGGTGTATTAATAATAAGATGTTGATTACAATATAATCATAGAATAGCAGTATTTTTTGTATAACACTTTACGACAATTAGTACAAAAAATATTTGCATTTGAATACTCTGATCGGCATGCAGTGTTCTGTTCACTTTTTGCAGTATAAGGCAATTAATATTCGACCAGGTTTTGTTAAAGATAATAGATTTGATCGTAACCAAAAATTTATTTGGCTGGTATATATTGCTTGGTTATATCGAGGCGATAGCTAAGTACGGACTGTCGCAAATAATTATCCTAAACAGCGATGCAGCCATTGCGCAGGTCCCAGTAAAAAGAACTGTACGGTGGAATCAGCCGTAATTATGGATGTTCTTGACGAAGTTTCTCGTTTATAATGCAAGTGATCCGCTCGTCTTTTGCGTTTTTTTTATCAGACTGCTACTGGCTTTGACAGAGGTAGCTTCACATTAGCACTAGTGAGTAATACGTTGGCGTCGACTAAATATTACAATCTTTCAGTAAATTATTTCAATTAATAAATTTTTTTCCAGTGAATAACCAATTAATGAAGATCAACCATGAAAAAACCCCGAGAACTTTCGACGGGATGTGCTGATTGTATGTGCTAGTATTAAGATATCTCGCAGTATTGCCGTTCGAAGGACGCGACTTCAATTTTTTTGGCACTCGGTTACTTACTTGTTACTTATTCATCTCAAGCATGATTCACTGGTCCATGTTCACTGTATATTGCTTCGTTACGGTAATTATATCGTGAAAAATCTTTTTCTCAAGCTTATCATTGCATTAAATTAAAAAGATGGTTAAATATAGTTTCATAGTTGAGCCATAAATCTTATGAAAGTTTAGTGAAATGTTAAATTTTGGAAAATTATTGATAATATTTCATAACATTATACAGCATATGTCAAATTCAAATCATTCAGTAGAAAAATAATTGGTTATTTGGATTACAGGAATCAGTACGACTACAAGATGTAAGCGAGATGGTGCTAGTAGTCGGTTTAAATTTTCGTTTTAATACTATGATGTACAAACGGAAACTATTTGAATCACTATTTAATGACTCTCGATCCCTGTGGAGTTTTTGCACTGATGAAGGCCACGTGATCGTCAAGAAGTATGAGCAAAAACTCAGACGAGTCTACCAAATGTTCTTTATCAGCTGCCTTTTCGTAAATATCTTGT